GGAAGAAGTGTTAATTGATGGTATTTTATATGCCTTTCAAGAACAAACTGTAGAGGACATCGTGATGTTAAATGGGTTTGGTACAGTCGTCAATGCTCTTGGACTTCGTGTGAAACCTTATTTGCAACAAATTACCTCTACTATTTTGTGGCGTCTCAACAACAAATCTGCAAAAGTTCGTCAACAAGCCGCCGATCTAATATCTCGTATTGCTGTTGTCATGAAGACATGTGGTGAAGAAAAACTCATGGGTCACCTTGGTGTTGTCCTTTACGAATATTTAGGCGAAGAATATCCAGAGGTGCTTGGATCTATTTTGGGAGGATTAAAATCTATTGTCAACGTAATTGGCATGTCAAGTATGACACCACCCATTAAAGATCTTCTTCCCCGTTTGACGCCTATCTTGAAGAACAGACATGAGGTTATATCTCGATTTTATTATCGTTTATTATATTAATGTATTTACTTTTCTAAACAATAGCTGTATTTTTTATGCGAATCCAATTTATTAGAAAGTACAAGAATCTTGTATTGATCTTGTAGGTCGTATTGCCGATCGTGGTGCAGAATTTGTTAGTGCAAGAGAGTGGATGCGCATATGTTTCGAGTTATTAGATATGCTTAAGGCACATAAAAAAGGTATCCGTCGTGCCACGGTAAACACATTTGGCTATATTGCTAAAGCAATTGGTCCTCAAGATGTTTTGGCAACGTTACTTAATAATTTAAAGGTTCAAGAACGTCAAAACAGAGTTTGCACTACAGTAGCTATCGGTATGTCTTACTTTTGAATTTGATTCTTTAGTATTCCGGTTTAATAACATTACTCTTATTTATTTCATCCAATTATACCAGCTATAGTTGCCGAAACCTGTGCACCCTTTACGGTCTTACCCGCGTTGATGAATGAATACCGCGTTCCAGAATTGAATGTTCAAAATGGTGTTTTAAAGGTTCGAACTTTCTTATTCATAAAGCATTGCTGCCAACCCAGTTGACATGGTTTGATTTTGATTATTACGATAGTGTGATTATTAGTGTTTGTACAAAATAACAAATAAAACTCTTTGAATAATGTTGGGATGCTTATTCAACTTCGGTAACATTCACTCTGATATATTTCAAAATCAGATAATAAATACTGCGTGAAGATCTTGTCAGCTGGGTTGAATATATTCATTTTAATTACAT